GCTTTTGAAGCTTTGAAGAAGCTATTCACCTCGGCACCCATCCTGGGCCACCCAGATGCCGCCCTACCCTACATCTTGGAGGTGGATGCATCAGAGAATGCAGTGGGTTCCATTCTATCCAGCGAAAGGGCACCAGGGAATTACTCCATCTGGTAGCATTCTTCTCCCGGAAACTCACCCCGGCGGAAAGGAACTACGATATCGGCGATCGTGAACTTCTGGCTATCAAGACAGCGTTACAGGAATGGAGGTACCTGCTGGAAGGTGCCTCACACCCAATCTTAATATTTACAGATCACAAGAATCTGGAGTACCTGAGGACCGCCAAACGCTTACGCCCACGACAGGCGAGATGGGCATTATTCTTCTCAAGATTTAATTTCCACATTACGTATAGGCCTGGATCTAAGAATACGAAGCCAGATGCATTATCACGCATGTACGAGGACGCCAAGGAGGTCCCAGTGCCCGACACTATCCTGTCTTCGGGAAACTTCTTGGCGCTCCAGACGGACCTTCGTTCCCAGATAATGGAGGCATCCACGGCCATATCCATCCCAGCCGGGGTGCCCCTCCAGAACAAGGGGGGACTCCTATGGAAGGAAGATCGGATTATGGTGCCAGAGGAAACCCGAACCCTGGTCTTAGGACATTGCCATGACCACCCGATGGCAGGGCACTTTGGCCCAGCCAAGACCCTAGAGCTCCTCCGACGCTCCTTCTGGTGGCCCGACATGGCTAAAGATTGCAAGCACTATGTAAAATCCTGCATCACCTGCCAGAGGAACAAACCATCAAGGAACAAAGCTTGGGGTCTACTGCGGCCTTTACCGATTCCCGAACAGCCTTGGCAGAAAATCTCAATGGATTTTATAGTCGAGCTTCCACCGTCACTAGACCACACAGCAATCCTTGTGGTCGTGGACCGTTTATCTAAGATGGCCCACTTCATTCCATTAAGGAAGACCCCGTCGGCAGCCGAAACTGCGTGAGTATTCATTCAAGAGATTGTAAGACTGCACGGGGTTCCTGAAGACATTGTCTCAGACCGAGGGGTTCAGTTTACCTCAAGATTTTGGAGGGCTCTGTGTAAAGCCCTGGACATCCAATTGTCCCTCTCTTCTGCATTCCACCCTCAGTCCAACGGACAGACCGAAAGAACCAACCAGACTCTGGAGCAATACCTGCGCTGCTATACATCCTTTGCTCAGGATGACTGGATACCATTTCTACCCTTGGCGGAATTCACGTACAACAACGCATGCCATTCAGCAACGGGGCAGTCCCCGTTCTTTTCCAATTATGGGTTTCACCCTATCTTCCTCCCGGACTTGGTCCCTGAATGCCCAGTTCCAGCAACACAGGATACATTGACATTCTTCTCCCTCGAACAACAAGAAGCTACAGGAAGCCATCGTTCGGGCCCAAGAAGACTACAAGAAGGCATTTAACAAGAAACGAAGAGGAGATCTGGTGTTGCGGCCCGGAGAGAAGGTTTGGTTGTCTACATCCAACTTAAAGATGCTTTGCCCCTCAAAGAAATTGGGACCTAAATTTATAGGCCCCTTTTGCGTGAAGCGGATGGTCAATGAGAGGTGGCTTACGAACTTGTCCTCCCTGACACATTCAAGATCCACCCAGTCTTCCATGTGTCCCTGCTGAAGCCAGTGATCCCAGATGCCTTCCCTGAACAAGAATCTAGACCTCCGGAGGCCATAACGGTCGAAGGAGAAGAAGAATTTGAGGTAGAAACAATCCTGAAGTGCCGAAGGAGGGGGGGGCCAGACCCAATTCCTAATCAAATGGAAGGGCTATGGCCCTGAGGACAATTCTTGGGAACCAGCCCATAATGTCCATGCACCCAGACTTGTCCAGAGGTTTTTTCGCGATCACCCGTGGTGGAGAGATCGGGTGGGCATCCGGAGGTTGCCCGTAGGGGGGGGGGCAATGTCATGGATCTCCTCGATCCCCGCCGTGATGGTCCCGGCGCAGGCGCAGTGTGCCGCCCTGTGCAGGGACACGGGCACTAGGTCCGGGCCGGCCGCGGCGTTCGAGTTCGCGCATGCGCAGTAGAAGACGCGGCCGCCCGCTGGGCACCAATAACAGCACAGGGCGGGATATTTAAATGGCCCTGAGCTGTCATTCAGTGCCTTCTGGTCTCCCCTGTATCCTGTACCTGTGAACCTGTGAACTGTAAGTTGCTGACCCGGATTGTGCTCTGACCTTGTTATATTCTCCTGCCCAGACCCTTGCTTTGCCTGACCTCTCTCTTGAATGCCCCCTATTGGATCTGACCTGCTGTTGCTGACTTGGCGTGTGACCCGACTATTCTCTGCCTTGTACCGTACCGTCCTCTCTGTTACCGACCCGGCTTGTCTGACTTTGCACCTGCTCAGCCATTCATCCATCCCTCCCAGTGGGTCTTCAGACCTCCTCATATCAGGCTCTTCCCCGTGGGAGCCCTTGACATATACCACTACCACTGACGGGTTTACCCAGTAGCCACGACCTGGTCTCGGGGTGCTCCAAGTCCATCCCCACCATCAGGGGCCCTGGTGAACAAGCACCCTGGGACTTAGATTCCGTGCTCTGGGAACGCCTATTCAGTGGAGTGCTAGTGGTACCGCCGGGTGGTCCCTTACAGGTACACAACAGAAGGATGCCGTCCTTATGCAATCACACCAGCAAGCACTCATCTTTATTTGCATTTTCACTCTCAAATTGCAAAGCTTCCACACGCTAGCTTGAAAGAACATCTTAAAATTTTTTATTTCCTTAGGTTACCCCTTCTTTCTCAGGCACATGATCACTACCTTATACAACTCTGCAGGAAGATGTTATTACCCCCGCTGTTCAGGTGTACTCTGTCAAACCCAAACAGACTTCGGTCCTGTTCACTTCCTATGGCAAGTATGGCGTGTCCTCCAATCATATTCATTGCTCTGATACACTCCCCATTGAATACATGAGCTTTCTCAGTTCGCACTTTCCTCCACATGGGTCTGATAATAATTAATGACGTAACAATGTGGGTCTTAGGGAATCTTCTCTCTTAGCCAATGCATATCCTCCATCATTCTCCTCACAAGGCCCCCCACTGGAGCTCGGCCATCTCTTAAATCATTACCCTCCAGGTGAATAATCACAGCATAGGGGTGTGGTTGATGTTGGAGTACTGCTCCATTAATGAGATCACGTAATCCTCCCCACCGTAACCCTGGCCTCCCTTCCCATTTTATTTTAACTCCTTCCTGATCACACCACAAGTTTTCTTGGTCTATCCATAGAGCCCTAGAATATGCTCTATTAACATATGAATGTCCGGCAAATCAAATAGTCTTTTCATTTCCTTGTGGTCTTTGAGGCCATAGGTTAGGATTCTGGCTCCATCCACCGGTAGTTGCTGGTAGATTCGTTGATGCAGGTTGCCTCCATTCCATACACATCTGGTAAGGCGCTGTGATTGGAGGTCCTTGGGCACCATCAGCCTGAGGATGTTCGATCTCCATTTCGTTATATTTAGGGTTGGCTCCTTCCCTTCTCATATTAGGGGACACTGGTGTCCGAAGAGGTGGTTTGAGGAGTGCACCGATTGACTGGTCAGGGCCTGGCTCATGGACGGGTGACAACTTAGGCATCTCAATTTCTTCTATACTGCTGTCCATTGTTCCTTTGAATGGGAGCAACAAACAAATCTGAGTTTTTCTTAAATTTCAATTGCTTATACACCCTTTTGCAAGCGCATATACTTAACTTATAACATAGGACTAAGCTTATCATCACTCACCTATTTTTGATAATCCTATCAAAAATGTCTTGAACAATGTACCAATCTCCTTAAACCAGTTCAAGGGGTTCAACCATGATATCCATGAAAACACTCCTTCACCCCACTCAGATAAATCTAAATTCTGATATTATGGACATCATCCTGCAATTCTTCTGCTGCAGCCAAGTGGGCATTTATGTCATAGGTTTTGTCAACCATATAGGTGCAGCACTCCTGTTTTATGGCTAAACACAATCCTCCTTGAGATGCGAAAAGAATGTCTAGACCCATATGGTTGGCAATTACCTGTCTTCTCATTTCTATTAATTCTTCTGCTTCATCCTTTAATGCTGCTAAAACATGACCCAGCATAATATTTGTTACATTTGCATAAATATTTATTCTAGTTACCATCCCCTGTCCCCACCCTGTCCAGGATGGAGCATAGGTCCATGCCTTAAATGCATCCCCAAATACTGATATGTTATATTTTTGTGCAATGTTAGGCATGGCGTCTGAAGCAGCTTCTATAGAATAGACCTAACTTTCTGTAGATCTCTTCTGTCTATGTCCTTTTTGTTCTTATAACAAAACAGACATATTCACTGGTCTTGTGGCATAAATCAGTTCTGCTATGACACAGGTACCATTAGCTTTTATGGGCAAACTCTTCCTTGCCTTCCGTCCATACACAAAATAATATGGGTTAGGTAGGACTCTTGCGCCAACGTTTTTCAATTCTGACATTGCTAACTCCTTTAACCACCTTCCGCCCGCCATATAGTACAATGACGGGTGCAAGGTGGTTCTCTCGTTCTGATAGGACGTCATATGACATCCTTCCATTCTCACCACGCATGCGTGGCTCAGGGAGCGTGCAGCGCGGCGATCGCCGGTGCGCTGTGTGCCTCGGACACAGCGGATGATGGAAAGAGCCGAAGATGTCAGCTCGGTCATGTGATCAGCTGTGTCCAATCACAACTGATCACATGTACACACAAAAATGCCGGTTATCACGCTGACAGCTCGAGAGGTGAGGAGAGTCGGTAATCGGCTTTCCGCAGAGGGGACATGTACACTGATCATCAGGGCACTGATGATCAGTGTGCCTGGATGATCAGTGTGGCCCCAGAAGTGCCACCTGTCAGTGTCCAGCAGTACCAGCAGTCAGTGCTCATCAGTGCCACGTGCCAGTGCCCATCAGTGCCACATCAATGCCACATATCAGTGCATACCACATACCAGTGCACATCAATGCCACATATCAGTGCTCATCTGAGCTGCCGTTCAATGTCACCCATCAGTGCCAGTCAGTGCCACCTATCAATGCCAATCAGTGCCACCTATCAGTGCTGCCAATCAGTGCTACCTATCAGTGCCAGTCAGTGCCGCCTATCAGTGCCAGTCAGTGCTGCCTATCAGTGCCAGTTAGTGCCACCTAACAGTGCCAGTCAGTGCTGCCTAACAGTGCCAGTCAGTGACGCCTAACAGTGCCAGTCAGTGCCACCTATCAGTGCCACCTATCAGCGCCATATATCAGTGTCATGTATCAGTGCTGCCTTACAGTGCCCATCAGTGATGCCTGTCAATGCCCATCAGTGCAACCTACCAGTGCCTCCTCATCAGTGCCCATCAGTGTCCATCAGTGCAGCCTATCAGTGCCCATCACTGCAGCCTCATTAGCGCACATCAGTGAAGGAGAAAAATCACTTATTTACAAAATAGTATAACAAAAACTAAGAAAAAAACGTTTTGTTTTTTTTTCAAAATTTTCAGTGGTTTTTGGTTTGTTTAAGAAAAAATAAAAATCCCAGAGGTGATTAATTACTACCAAAAGAAAGCTCTGTCTCAAAAAAATGATAAAAATTTCATATGGGTACAGTGTTGCATGACCGCGCAATTGTCATTCAAAGTGTGACAGCGCTGAAAGCTGGAAATTGGCCTGGGCAGGAAGGGGGTATAAGTGCCCTGTAGGCTAGTGGTTAAAGATCTATTGTATTTATTTACATCAGTATCTATATATGTTTCATTACACTCGTCTGGTAAATCCAAAGCCTTTAATGATTGCTTCAAGGTTTTATTAAAACAGTTGGAGGAATCATTCTTACACCGACACACATAGTCTGATTCAATATACCATAACACCCGTTTATTACAACTTGGACCTCACCTGGCTCTTGGTAATAATCTGTGATACCTACCCTTATTGTTCCATTTAAAGTGATACCTATCCATTTTCCTGATATACCCTGGATCAGAAAATCTACTTCCATGACAGCCTTCCCTTGCTGTGCACTCAAACTATTTGTAGACAGATTTTACTAACAAAGCATGATATAAATCAGGACTTGTCACTGCCATAGCAATTATGGGCTTGTGACGTACACTAGGGGGAATTATAGTACATATCCAACAGTCTGAGAGATTAAATTGGTTAGAGATCACCTCATGCATTTGAATCATCCTATTCAGAAAGGGTTGGCTTTCCACATTCATCAGGCCTAGGCCTAGTACCATCAGGACACCCTGCCATGCTCTCATCTTCCTTCTCCACAGATTACTTTATTCTGAAACTGAAAAGGGACACAAATAAATATTTTTCCTAAGCACCGCCTGCCAAGATTAGGGGCCCCCTCCGAGGCCTCATCCCTTAAGCTAGCCTGATTGCTCAGGTACCACGGCCTTATGCACGTGTTTGCAGTGTGATGCATGCACCCAAGCCTCCTTCCCCTCAAGCTTTACAGCTGTTGGGGTCACCAGTACCACTTGATGGGGTCCTGTCCACCTGGGCTCAAGATCTCTCCTCTGGTGCTTTTTAAGCATCACCCAGTCACCTGGTTGCAACTTATGTGTCCCTTCAAGATCATCTGGATCTGGAAGTGAGGCATAGATTTTATTATGCAAATGATTAAGGTGTTTCTGTAATCTTATTACATACTCTGTGAGTGTACCATAGGATTTGTTTGGTGCCTGTAGGTAATACAAACCTGTCTTTGGCACTGATCCAAAAAGTATCTCATAAGGAGATAACTTTCCCCTCTGTTTAGGAGTAGTTCTGAGGGAGAATAATGCAATTGGTAATCCTTGTAACCAATTCAATCCTCTCTCTGCCTTAATTTATCTCAGCTTTGCCTTTAACAACCCATTATATTTTTCTATTTTACCACTTGCAGCAGGGTTGTATGATGTATGCAAGCGTTGTTCAATGTTAAAAGTTGTCAGTATTTCTTTCATTACCTGACCTATGAAGTGTTTCCCTCTGTCACTATTGTCTCTGGGATTCCATACCTACATACCACTTCCTGTATCAGTTTCTTGGCTGTTGCTGTTGCCTTTCCTACTGGGAAAGCTTCCAGCCATCCTGGAAAAACGTCTACAACTGTTAAACAGAATTCCTACCTTTGGCAGCTGTATGTAATCTATCTGTACTCTCTTGGTATAACAGTATTGGGATATGACCAGACGGTGTCTGTACCTTTTTTCCTGGATTGAACTGTGCACAAATTAAACATGCTTGACAAACTTGTTTTGCCATTGTTTCAATACCTGGTGCATACCATGTTTTCAAAATTGTATCCACCATCCCTCCTTTGGCAACATGAGAGCGGAGGTGTGCCCAAGAGCATAAAGCAGGATACATAGAATGAGGGGCACACTGTCTCCCATCTTCAAGATGCCAAATACCTTTTTCATCCTGGATGCACTTGACTTTTTTCCATTTATTTATCTCTTTTTGAGAAGCTGCACTTTGCAGCTTTCCTAATGTTTCCTCATCAGGTGTGTCTTTCAAAAAACACACTTTGTCACTTTTCCTCTCACTCAAGGGAACCAGAGCAGCTTCTTTCGCAGCTTTATCTGCTCCTTGGTTTCCCATAGTGATGGGATCATCTCCTCTTGTGTGAGCTTTCACCTTTATTATAGCAACAGCAACTGGTAAGGTGACAGCTTCCAACAAGGCCATTACCTGAGCAGCATTTTTGATTGGCTTACCTTGAGAAGTTAAGTAATTCCTACTTTTTGCACAATGCTGTATAATCATGGACTACTCCAAACGCTTAAAAATTTTGGTATATCGATGTATTAAATTTATTTAAATACATCTATATTTATATTCACATCTGTGCTCCACAATATGTCTATATATTCTGTGATTGGACATCCATTTATTTTTTTACATCTGGAAGTCACCCACTTTCACATGGGAGCAACTGGAATAGGATATAATGTGATCTTTTCAGTAACTATATATGCATCATTTGTGCTGTATCCAAAATTGGCTCTGAGGAAGAAGGGATCCCCCCTCGAAACGCGTCAGTATTTTGGATAATCTTTTCGCACTTGGGACTTGTCTACTAGACCAGGCTGCTTCAAGTACACTGTGGATTGATGTGCATTCATTTTAATGTTGCCTGTGGGAGCACCGCTGCACTTGCATGAAATCTCTGCTTCCTTTTCTGCTTTCATCTGTATTTTCTTGTGTGCCGCTTCTGTGGCATCAGCTTCCATTTCTGTTTATTTTGGGCTGAATTTTAGAAGCTTCAGCATTGACACTGGGTTTAGTAATTTGCTGGCTGAGAATGGAAGATTTTAATTGTAGAGACTTGGTGGATCTTGAGGACTGTCTCATAGATGCAGAGAGATGAGATTTAGATTAATTTCATTGTGTGGTTCTCATTTCTGTCTTTGGATTTGTTAGTAGTAATCAACTGCCTCTATCTAGATTAAACTCACCAAATTCTTTTTAATTCTTCTGTGTGTAGGGGATACCAAATCCAGTAGATATGTGTGATTCATTTCATTCCAAATTGAAATTCGGACTAAAATTTCATTTTTCAGAGATGCAGATGTGTCTAAATTTCAGAATTACAATAGTAATGACAAAATAAACAATAAACTCCTGCCCTAACTCAATGTGATAATAAATAATACAGTTGCAAGAAAAAGTATGTGAACCCCTTGGGATTACGTGGAGCTTTGCATGAATTGGGCATAAAATGTGCTCTGAACGTCATCTAAGTCACAACAATAGAAGAACACAGTCTGCTGAATATAATACTACACAAACATTAGATGTTGCCATGGTTTAATTGCACATAACATGTAAACATTCACAATGCAGGGAGGAAAAAGTATGTGAACCTTTGGACTTAATAACTGGTTGACACTCCTTTGGCAGCAATAACCTCAACCAAATGTTTCCTGTAGTTACAGATCAGACCTGCACAACGATCTGGAGTAATTTTGGACCACTCCTCTTCACAAAACTGTTTCAGTGTAGCAATATTCTTGGGATGTCTGGTGTGAATCGCTCTCTTAAGGTCGTGCCACAGCATTTCAATCGGGTTGAGGCCAGGACTCTGACTGGGCCACTACAGAAGGCGTATTCTGTGCTGTTGCAGCCATTGTTTTGTTGAATTACTTGTATGCTTTGGGTCATTGTCCTGTTGCATCACCCATCCTCTGCGGAGCTTCAGTTGGCGGACAGATGGTCGTACGTTTTCATGCAAAATGTCTTGATAAACTCTGGAATTCATTTTCCCATCAATGACAACAATTCGTCCAGGCCCTGAGGCAGCAAAGCAGCTCCAAACCATGATGCTCCCTCCACCATGTTTTACAGTGGGGATGAGGTTTTTGATGTTGGTGTGCTGTGCCTTTTTTTCTCCACACATAGTGTTGTGTGTTCTTCCCAAACAACTCAGTCTTGGTTTCATCTGTCCACAGTATATTTTGCCAGTAGTGCTGTGGAACATCCAGGTGCTCTTTTGCAAACTTCAAACGTGCTGCAATATTCTTTTTGGACAGCAATGGCTTCCTCCGTGGTGTCCTCCCATGTACTCCATTCTTGTTTAATGTTTTCCTTATTGTAGATGTGTCAAGAAAAATGTTAGCATGTGCCAGAGATTTCTGTAGGTCTTTAGCGGACACTCTGGGATTCTTTTTTACCTGATTCAGCATTCTGCGCTGTGCTCTTGCAGTCATTTTTACAGGACGACCACGCCTAGGGAGAGTAGCAATAGTGCTAAACTTTCTCCATTTGTAGACAGTCTGTATTACCGTGGACACATGAACATCAAGGCTTTTGGAGATACTTTTGTAACCCTTTCCAGCTTCATGCAAGTCAACAATTCTTGATCGTAGGTCTTCTGTGAGCTCTTTTCTGCGAGGCATGGTTCACATCAGACAGTGCTTCTTGAAACCAGTAAACCCAAAACAGGTGTGTGTTTTTTAAGGGCAGGACAGCTGTCAGCAACACATCCAATATCATCACACTGATTGGAGTCAAGGTTGGTTCACTCCTGGCTCCAATTAGCTTTGGGAGAAGTCATTAAGCTAGGGCCTCACATACTTTTTCCTCCCTGCACTGTGAATGTTTACATGTTATGTGCAATTAAACCATGGCAACATCTAATGTTTGTGTAGTATTATGTTCAGCAGACTGTGTTCTTCTATTGTTGTGACTTAGATGATGTTCAGAGCACATTTTATGCCCAATTCATGCAAAACTCCACATAATCCCAAGGGGTTCACATACTTTTTCTTGCAACTCTACCTTCTTGCCTCTAGCTCTATTACAGCAGATG